GCTATGCAGGCCTAGTTCTGATGAAAATACCACAAGTTCCTTTTTGATACAATTTATAAAATCTCCTTTCATCTTTTACTTAGCCTTAAGGGGAAGAGGGAAAAAAAAAAGCTGTATCATTGATGATATTCCTCATGGCTGAGATGTTGCAACTGAAGAAAAGTCTTTTCTGTGGATTGGCTGTGGCATGTAGGCCCTTCAAGTTATTAATTAAGTTCTTTAACCAAGGTGTAATCTTAGGGTTTATTTTATCTTTGATTTGTTTGGAGAAACTGTGGAGTTAACTTTTCTTCTATATTTGTTCTCAAGAAAAGGCTCATTGCAGGGGACTGCAGTGTAAGAAAATGATAATAAAACCCAAGCACAGTCCTGCACAGTTCCTATTAGGAAATCTGTAAGGAAAGAAGGATTTTTAATAAAACCAGGTGAAATTGATGTGTGAGGTTGCAGTTTTAAAGAAAGTATTTATAAGTGTATATAGCATAATGTGCTGTAACACACTGCAGTTGAGTTTCTGAGCTCTCTGGATGAATATGTAGTATGTAAATATGTGTATGGAGTCAAACTACTTGAGCATTTCTGAGCTTGATGGGGCAATAAAGTTAAGCACAAGAGCTGAGTGCAGAACAGCTTTAGCTGCAGATCTGCAGCAGCTCTAATGAACTCCCAGTTGTGTTGCTGGTTATAAGTGGTGCTTTGTTTATGGGATGAAATCGAGTCTCAAAGCAGCTTCTAATCATCAGCAGCGAAGTTCCTTATTTCAGTTGGGTATGATGCTACAGGAGGCTTCCTGAATTTGCAAACAAGTCAGTTAAGCAGAAAAAGAATAGAGCTTGTCTTGTGCAGCACAAGCTTAGCCCTGGCAGTGGGAAGGGATGAGGACCATGCAGTTGTTACCCATTTATCCTTGGGGATAAACTGTGGGAGCATTGTTCATTGCCAGGCTGTTTGGGGTGATGGTTTGCTTGGTTAGTGGTACTTCAAATTTAGATTTTGCAGGTGGGAAATTAGTTTGGAATCAATGGCAGAACGTGTTACACAAAAAGTGCCTCTCATTAAAATAGTTACACCATGTGTAATGTTACATTATTTGTTCTTGCTCTTTTAGCCAAAAAGAAGATTCCTTGATACAGAATCAAATGAATCTATTAAACTTGCCAGTTTAATGGTGTAAGCTAAGAAAGTTTCACAAGAACCACCAAAAGGTAGTGGAGTTACTTAGTACTTGTGATGGCAGGTGAAAGGTGATATATTTGTCCTGTCTTCACAAATCAAATACAAGTTGTAAGTTCTGCTGTTGGCCAACTGTTTATATCTGGCTGGCTGAGGTATTAAGAAGGGGTTCAAACAATGGACCTGTTCACACAACTGGTTTCCTTCCATTTGATGTAGTCATTAACAAGACCTTTCAATGTATAAATAATGCCTGCCCCAAAGTCTCATTTTGATACAGTGATTACTTCCTTTTATACTTGCCCATTAAAAGCCCCCTCTTGCTACTCCGTGCAATTCATTACAGTCCCTCTTTAAAGAGTGTTTGTAACTATTTTTTTTAAACTAACAGCATGTTGTTCAGTTGATGTTCTCCCCTAGCTCAGCTGAAAAGTTATTTAATAAAAGAAGGTAATGCATAATGGGCCCTCTGCTTCTTAAGGAAATTTAAGAAAGCTTTTTTTTCCCCCCTGAAAGTCGTTCCCAGCTGTGTGTAGAGGTGCAGCAATAGGAGTAATTTGTGCCACACTGAATGAAAATGTGACTCTTTAAAGCATTTGTTTCTGTGCTCAAACCTTACAGCGATGCACTGTTGTGCTGCAATCACAAGCTCATAACAGGGGCTTTTAAAGCCTCGGCAGAAATTGATTGTAAATATAGATATTCTGGGGAGGCTCTTCCTGGCAGATGGCAGGATTACTTAGAAACCTTTGGCAAATGAGATGCTGAAATTACAGCAAATGCAAGTAAATGTTCTAAATGTGGTTTGTGCCTCTCATTCAGAAATTTAAAAACCCTACGTGAATTGCAGTTTCTACATCAAAATGTTAGGTTCCTGCATAAATACCTGAACCTGCTGCTTTGTGGCCTTAAATAGTTCATGATTCACGAAGCTTTTTAATTCCACCTTGTTTTCTTAAGAAAAAACTGGGAAGCTTCAAGATTTTTGCCTTCCAGAATGAACTTCTGAAAGGTGTGTAATGAGATAAATTCAGTGTCATTTGCACTTCTCAAAGGATTTTGTTTCAGGGTTTCTTTTCTGCCCTTGCTTTTCATGTACAGGTAAAAATACTCTTTAGTAGAAGTCTTGAAAGCTCATGGGGGGGCAAAATGGAGTTACAGTAAATGTTATAATATTTTAAACTTCAACATTCTCGTTCCTCAGTGGTTACAGCACAAGTATGTGTGTAGAAACTTCTTTTTTGAAGAAGTTGAAACAGTTTTGATCAAATCTGTTATGATGCTTCTGGAACACTTTTTGCTTTCCTTGATAGACCCTCAGATAAATGTAAAGCTTTTAGAGTTAATTATGTTACTTACTCCAAGCAGATTGTTTGTAAAATCATAGTTTATAGGACAGAGTCATTTATCAAAATTCCCTTGACACTTGCCCTACAAATACTAGTTACTGCAAAACATCATTTTAGTAGAACCGTTCCAACTTCCTTTGCTTTGAGTTAGTTGTTTATTCCACGAACATACTTGTGGGTAAATGATGTTGAAATTATATGCAGCCACTAAAATTGCTTTCCTAGTTGATGCACTGTGTTCAGAATACTACAAAATAAAATATCCAATTATACATGATCATAGAACAGACTTGTAGGTCTGTAAACTTGATTGCCTGATATAAATGTAATGGGATAGATCAAGGTGGCAGCACCAAGAGGAGTTTCTTGTGCATCTTCTGCCTTGATGATGCTTTAGGTTCTTTGAAAGCATTGCTGAGAGGCAAAAATAGAACTTTTGCATTGTCTTCTTTCTGCTCTGAGACTCCAGGTGGGTTCATTTCCTTTTTTAGGGCTGTGAGCAATTGGTTATCTTGTGAAGGTACAAGGCTTGAAAGTGAGTTGCAACTATAAACAGCTTTTACTTTTTAGAACAGTAAACTTTTATCCTCAGTAAAAGAACAAATTTAGTCTGAGTTCTTGGCCAAGTTTCTCTCTCTTTATGTATTTCCTGTTGCTTTGAAGGGTGCAAAGGTTCTTCTGTGTAGTAGTTCTGGGGAACTAAATTAGACTTTAAGTGCAGACACGTCTGTATTTCTGAAGAAATAAGGTGATACATAATTGATTGAGGCTTTTTTCTTTTTTCAGTTCCTTCCAGGGACTTACTGAAGCAGTGGGAGACTTCTATTCTCCTAATTTCTTCTTTTTTTTTCCAGTTTGTTTTTGTATGACAGCTTAGGAATAAAGGTCTTCAAACAGTTTTTCTATTTGTTTTGGTTTTCCTACTTTTTCTCCATCTTACTGAAACCAAGCTGAATAATCAAAGAGGTACCAATGGGATTAAGCTACAGTGTGAAATAAATGGATTTTTTCCTGTCAAGAGACACCAAGTGTCCTTAGGTTTGTTCCCTCCTTTCCTCACCTTCTAACTCCCAGAAGAAAAAAAATATCAGTGGTACATAAATGCCTTACCTGGGGATGTTTGCTGCATCTTTGCTGCTTAGTATATGTTTCTGTTATATAAAAATATCTGTCCAGGTGTCTGAGCCAGCTTGTAAATGTGCCCAGACACTCGGAAAAGCCTTATCAGATGACTTTTAGTGAATCAAAGATGGGAGGAAGAAAGATCTTCTTGATTAAAGGTGGCAGCCTAAGAGAACCAGCACAGAGGTGCTTCAATCTTGCTTCCCACCTCCACCACCCTTGTGTCTCATGTGCAGATTTGGTGTCTGGGCATGTGGTAGGTGCTCTAATTCCCGGTGGTTTATCAAAAGCTGAGAGACAATGTTGTTTGGCAGTCTCTGTAGCAGGAGAGGAAGCATCTTTTGTTATTGACATCCTTTCTCTTAGCCCAGCTCTTGCTTTTTGCCAGCTGCTCATTGTCTATACTTGCTTATTTAGTATTCGCAAGGGATTTTACAAGTTCTTATCAGTTCGTTGCCACAGCACATCATTTCCTCTTGTCATCGGTAAATTGGTGGGGGGAGGATTTGCTCTGGAGCTGGGGAGTGGTAAAACACCATTCATGAGCTCTTCTGCTCCTCTCCTTTCTGACTTTGTAGTAAAGGTCACATTTCTAGTCCTTACTCTGTCATGCCTTCCCCCTCCCCTCTTTTTCTGGGGAAAAGAAAACAATTTTTTTTTTCTTTTGCCAAAGGCTAAAAATATCCAGCTCTTCAAATATTCTTCTTAAAAGATATAAGGAAGTGCAGCATAAAAATAGCTCCAGCAAAAACAAAAAAGGTTTGACCACCTTTCTGAGTGGCTGGGGAAGGGTTGGTTGGAACTTTTTATTGGGTTTTTCTTTTAGTTGTGTTTGGTTTTCTCTGTCTACAGCTTCTTCCTAATTTTTTTAATACTCTTCAAAAACATGAGGTAACTAATTAGGGTTAAAGCAGGAAAAAGCAGATGCTGTAGGATTTTCTCCTTTTGGGAAATAAAGGTCCATCTGAGAATGCACTGCTGGCATTGGAACTGCTGGTTCCACCCTCCCTCTTCCCTGTTCCTTCATATTAGGTTTAGTCTTTCAGTGAGGCTTCATGACAGGGATATACTGTTAGTTTTAAAGCATATTCCTCAAGCTTGTCAAGGAAAGTCATGGATTTAAGGAACATTAACATGAACTATGCTGTCCCTGTCATCCCTTGTTGGTCCCTTTTCCCACTAATCATTAATGTAAGAATTAGAGACTCTGATCTTTTTTTGGGGGTGAGGTCCTAGTACTTCTGGGTTTTTGTTTTGAAACAAAATCAGGTACAATGCTGAAACAGAGAGTCTTTTACTATCTGCCTTTTTGTTTTACTTGTTTTCTAATTCCTTGTTAACTTCTCTTTTTGACAGAACTAAATTAGAGGAATCGATCACCATTTTTGATGTGAAGACTTTGTCTCTGACATCTCTATGCTCATTTGGCAGCCTCCGAGAAATAATACAGCTCAGCAGTGGCAATAACTGCCTTGGGTGTACACTGACAATTATTTGGGAAAAAACAAAGAAAACCCCAACAGCCAAAACCCACCAAACCTTTTGAAGACTTTGTGTCCAATGACGTCAATGGCCAGTTTGTTCTCCTTTACTAGCCCAGCCGTAAAGCGTCTGTTGGGCTGGAAACAAGGAGACGAAGAGGAAAAATGGGCAGAAAAAGCTGTTGACGCTTTGGTAAAAAAGCTGAAAAAGAAAAAGGGTGCTATGGAAGAGCTGGAGAAAGCCCTGAGCAGCCCAGGCCAGCCCAGCAAGTGCGTCACCATCCCCCGCTCCTTGGATGGGCGGCTCCAGGTGTCCCACAGGAAGGGCCTTCCCCACGTCATTTACTGCCGCGTTTGGCGCTGGCCTGACCTCCAGAGCCATCACGAGCTGAAGCCCTTGGATATTTGTGAATTTCCTTTTGGATCTAAACAGAAGGAAGTCTGCATCAATCCGTACCACTACAAGAGGGTGGAGAGCCCAGGTACCTGGAAAATTACTGTCTTACAACTGCACAAAATCTTCTGCGACCACTTATTGGTCACTCCCTCCTCCAGTCCTGTGGAACTGATTGAAACTGGGAGTTTGGGACAGGAAGTTCAAAGGGTACATTACTGGTGTGGTTTTAGGGAGGTGTGTTGTCCATTCTTTGTCATTAATCTCTTCAGTTAGTAGCAAAGTCCTCATTTGTAGCAGAATAGAAAGCAGTGATAAAAAATTTCAGTTTCTTTGACAAACTTCTCTAAAAATCTCAGTTCTCGCAAGGAGGTTGGTGATGTTATTTTACTATTTAATTAGTGAGTGACATGACTTGAGGAGATAAAAAAAAAAAGCAATAAAATTCTTGGATGGTAGAGTTCCCCACTTGAATTCCAATCAGCAGAGAGCAGAGATGAATAGAGCCAAGCGTGATGATCAGAGCAAGGTTTATATCAAGTTTGTGTCAGGTAATAAGCCTGCTGTTTAGGAGTTCTGCCATGGGAGAAGGGGAGGAGGGTTGGGGTTGCAAGTGGGACACATGAAGGATGTTGCTGTGGACAGCAGAGTGAAAAGTTGCTTCTGTTGTTCCACAAAGTGGTTGTTATAACTCTACTGCAAACTGCAGTGCTCAAACTGCAGCACTGGAATTCCAGACTCCAGCAGCCCTGGGTTTAAAAGTTAAAACTCCAGCTTAGCAATACTTTTATATTGCAGTATAGATTTTGTTTGTCTTCAGTGAAAGGGGAAATATGTAACTATATATTTTGACTGGGGTAATATAGACTGTATTTCCATTTTCACTGGTTTGCTCCTGCACACAGGCAGGAGTGTGCCACATACTGAAGTACTGATGTAGAAGTTTGTTTTGTTGGTTTCTTGTTTTTAAAAGGAAAGGTCTCTTCCAGTTGCATGAGATATATGTGTGTTTTTGTGATTTTTGCAAGAGTAAAGTTTGAGTCTTTCATGAAGCATAATGTAAAAAGTAAAGGAGAGAGGACAGGGTAAAGGTGTGTCAGATTAACCCCTTCTCCTCTTTCCACCCCAGTGGTGTTGAATTATCACAATGAGCAGAACAGCACATTATTTGTATCTCCTTCTAGCTCAGTTTTTAATGTGAATTCACCTGGTTTTTCTCTGTGTTTTTTCCAGTTCTACCTCCAGTGTTAGTGCCTCGACACAGTGAATTCAACCCCCAGCACAGCCTCCTCGTTCAGTTCAGGAACCTCAGCCACAACGAGCCCCACATGCCACACAACGCCACCTTCCCTGACTCCTTCCAGCAGCCCAACAACACTCCATTCTCCATCTCCCCAAACAGCCCCTACCCCCCTTCTCCAGCCAGCAGCACTTACCCCAGCTCCCCAGCCAGCTCGGGGCCAGCCAGTCCCTTCCAGCTCCCAGGTGAGTCCAACCTGAATGACAGTTGAATAAAAATAATTGAAATGTCCCGTGCTCTTGGGATTTATTACCTCAGGAATTGGTGATATTTGTAATAAATTGCTTTTTCTGTTTGTATTTTGGGGAGTTTTCTTCCTAGTTTTGTCGCTGGTCAGAGTTAATTATTGTAGTTTTATTTTTCCAAATGATTTTTTGTCGTGGATATAATAGCAGTGAGTTATTTTGCACAGCTTCAGTATAGAATAACTGATACATACTTCAAAAGAATATCTAGCAATGAAATGAAAGCAGATGTAAGAGGCAGAGCAAGAGGTTTATTGATGTCTTTCTCTGAATACAGTGGTGTTTAACAGGAAAAAAAGTAGCAAATATTTGTTAGAAACAAATGGGACTAAATTGATTCTCTTTAACTAATTTGGGTGAAAAAAGGGAAAAACAATTGGTAGGGGCAAAGGAAAGAAGTCTTACTTCTGGATTATAAAGCCAAGAAGTTAATTGATTAATGATTTTATTTTCCAGTGGCTCAGTGGCCTCATCTTTGCTGTTTCTGATTGCTCAGAGTGTCCCAGTCAGGGGGTGTCTCTTGACTGAGTACTGGGATCACTGGGATGGTTGCATTAATGGGGCACAGTAGTGTGCTGCTGGAAGAACACAGAGATCCCCTCTTTTAAAATGACCTCAGCCTACAAAAGCAGCAAAAAACCCCCAAAAATGGCTGTAGGCCTCTCTGCTACAGCAAATAAAGTTATTTTTTCTACTACTTTATTTTTGAACATGCAGAAAAGGGGGAGGCAAGAAAGCCAATGCTTGTGTGGCAAAAAGTGGGAACCACAGTCATCTTGCCCAGCTGCAGGAGTGCAGTTATTAAACTAAAAAAAAATAAAGGGCAAAAAGAAAAAAGCACATTTTTTTAAGGTATCCCATCTTGTTGTTAGTCCCATAGGTAAAACTTCAGCTATTGAAGGAGTTTACTGTAAAGACAGCTGGCTGTTTTCAGATCACTTTGAAAATGGGTCCAAATTTTTTAACATCTCTTATTCAAGAGGGTTTTTTGGGTTTTTTTGTATGTTTACAACTGTAGAATGAATAAATATTCTAAATTGTTGAGGTTTTATTCTTATTTTTTTTCCACCTCTGTAGCTGATACTCCACCTCCTGCCTATATGCCCCCTGATGATCAAATGGGGCAGGATAATTCCCAGTCCATGGACACAAGCAATACAATGATCCCTCAAATCATGCCAAATATATCCACCAGAGGTAAGTTGTGGGATCTGGTGTAAAATTACATAATTTGACTTCTTGCAGCTCGTGACCAAACTGAATGAATAACTTCAAATGGGCCAGTAAATCTCACTGGTAAGTCCTCCAAGGCAAACTGGGGCTGTAGCAGAGAAAACTGAGAAATAAAACTTGCCTGGCTTATTTTCATATCTTGTTTTCAAAGCCTCAGGGCTTCCAACAAGTTGAACTCTTTTTTGTTTGTTTTCTGCTACCTTTGACTGTTGCTGGAATTATATATGAACTAAGGCTCTGAAAATTTGGGTCCTAAAATACCCACTATAACAGATTTTTTAAAAGTGGGCAGGAGAATCATGTTTCACCTGCTATCCCAGTGTTTTTGTGTGCATGTAGGGGGGGTTTTTAGTTTAATATCAGACTTAAAATTGGAAAATAATCGTAAAATCAGCAGACTAGCTAAAATGCATGAAAATAAAAATCATGAAGTGTTAATCAGGATAGTCCTTTCCCATCCTAAGTGTCAGCTAAGCTTTTACTGATCTGGTGGTGTTTTGGGAGGTAAACTGTTCTTTCTGTTCGCTTCTTTTCAGATGTCCAGCCCGTTGCCTACGAAGAACCCAAACACTGGTGTTCCATCGTGTATTATGAGTTAAATAATCGTGTTGGGGAGGCCTTTCATGCATCTTCCACAAGTGTCTTGGTAGATGGGTTTACAGATCCCTCCAACAACAAGAACAGGTTCTGCTTGGGGCTGCTCTCGAATGTAAATCGCAACTCGACCATCGAGAACACTCGGCGGCACATTGGCAAAGGTAAAGCTTGGCTTCAGAAACCAGGGCCTTGGGTTTGTTTCACCCTCTCTGCACTGCAGCAGGGATTGTTCTCAGATGAGAATTCCAGAGGTAATCTGAGATCTGATACATTATCTACCTCTGCAGAATCAGAAGACAGCTTCTTTAGGCATGGTTTAATTCTAATTAGTCAGGAATTGCAGACATTTTTCTTTGGCGCTAATTTAAAGGACTAAATTTTACCTCTTCCTTGCCAAATAAGATTATCATTTACCCTAACAAACAAGCCCCTATGACAATCTGTATGTAGAGCTCTTGTGTTTCAGCACCAAGAAACATTGCAGGACTCCTGATATTCTACATTCTGTCTCCTTCTTAAATCAAATTCTTCATCCCACTGTACAGTATATCAAAGATTGTTTTATTTTGTTGTTGCAAGGCATTACCTGCTGTCTGTGTTCAAATATCTTGGTGAGTTGGCAGCAGGACTTTGAAGTGCTAATGCAAAACTGCAAGGGCTCATTTGTCTGAGTGAATCCATGGGGTGTGTTTGTGTGTGGGAGGGATTCCTGGAGACAGCAGGTTTTGCAAGATCTTCTAGTTTTCCTGTGCTGTTTGGCTGATAGCACACAGAGATGCACAGTTTTCATCTGTGAGGGAATGTGCTTGGATTATCTTAAATTGCAGTGCTCCTTTTCTGAATATCTTCTCTTTTGTGACCAAGTCAGTCCTGGAAAGAGAACCCTGTTTCTGTTGCACCTGAGATCATTTGGTGAAGTTGGTCTTGAGTTTTGCTTGATGAAAATTCATCCTGGCCCTTAGCAGTCTTTTTTAATTAGAAACTTTATAAATATGGCAAAATTTTGCAGATAATTTGGAGACCACAAGTTCTATTGATGTGTGTTGGAAGCTTGGCTCTGCAGTGCAGTTATCCAAGAAAATTTATAAATGAAACAATGTTGTAAAGTAGAACAGCTGATTCCTGGGGTGTGAGTGGTTTGTCAGGTTCTTTGTTTGGGCTCACCCCTCTCAGTGGTACTGGCAGAGGAATCCTGTGCATCTTCCCAAGGTCAGGAGTGTAACCAGGATCCATCAGCATGTTTTGGGTGGTATTGGCTGCAATGAGCTTTAAAATGTCTGCATCTCTAATAGAAATTATGGAACTTAAACTTTGCTTTGTGGTAATTGTTCTGACAACAATTAAGATAAAATACCATTGTTGATTTTTAAGGTCTGTAAAGCCTGATGGTAATTAAGTTGAGCAACTAATTGGACTTACCTCTCCTTTGGCTTGATAAAATGCTGTGAAAATCAGAGCATGGATGTACTTTCATTCATGTCTGACCCTTCTCCCAGGACACACTTATTTCTGTTGGAATTACCATAGGCAGAAGCTACCAGTTGTATAAAACTGGAGTTTTAAAAGGCACATAAATTCTCTAGAAAAACAGCTTGAAATAGCAGTTGAAAGAAATGTGGCAGTAGTTTTTTCATTCTATTCTGTAACTGGTCAGAGAAGGACATCTAGTGGCTGGTGTATCATGTAAAATTTTCCCATTTTGAAATGGGAAAATATGTTATAGTGTGAGCAAAAGAGCTTTTCTGAAAAGCTCAGGCAGAAAATTTACTTTAAAAAAAAAGGATTTACTACAACCACCTCAAAATCAGAGACAACACACTAATTTGCAGTGTTTTTATCATTGTTTTCAAGGAGTTCATCTCTACTATGTTGGTGGAGAAGTCTATGCTGAGTGTTTGAGTGATAGCAGCATATTTGTACAGAGCAGGAACTGCAACTACCACCATGGCTTTCATCCAACAACTGTGTGCAAGATTCCCAGTGGATGCAGCCTGAAAATATTTAACAATCAGGAGTTTGCTCAACTTTTAGCTCAGTCTGTCAACCATGGATTTGAAGCAGTATATGAGCTCACCAAAATGTGCACCATTCGAATGAGTTTTGTAAAGGTAAGTTATTTTGAGGGCATTTTAAATTTATTGTGGGTTTGGGTATTTAGGAGTAATTCCATCAGCACTGTGGCAAAGCTGTCCTGACCTCCTGTGGGTCTTTTCAATGATCAGTATATTGAAAATGCTTAATTTGGGGAGAGGGAAATCAGTGCAAGAAAGGAAAAGCACAGATTGCTGTATTGAATGTTGGCTGGGTATTTAATTACTTCAGTATCCAGGACAGGGATTTAATCATTGTGGTTGCTGTAATTTTATTAAAGAAGATTTGAGCTTGTGCTCTAAATTTGAAGGAACAAAGTGAATAACAGGTCCAGTAAAAGGAAGTGAGTAGAAAGGAGTAGAATTGATTGCAGAAAATATTCAACTCTTTCCAATTGATTAATATTATTTTTAAAAAAATGATTATGGAGAAAAGGCTTGATTTGAGTTTATGAAGTCAAGCTGTGCTATTGTCTCACAGGAGTTTTCTCAGCATTGTTTAATGAAGATGCTGTCATACTGTCCATCTCGGATTTACTGTGGAGTCTAGAGGTTTTTTTGCATCTTGTCCAAAAGATATCATGTTGATTTTGTCAGTTATGATAAATTCTGCTCAGTTTGAGAGTGTGGAGGATAAGGGAGCAGGAGGTTGAAGCAGAAGAGAGATGTGGCCATACCAGGAGCTCTCCTGGAGTGGGCAGGGAGCTCCCCAGGAGCCTGTGTGGTCACTCCAGCTCTGCAGCGGGTTCAGGCTCCCAGCTGCCCTTCCCTCCTGCTCCTGCCCAGCCTCAGGTTTTTTCCTTTAGATAAAAAGTGTTCCTAAATTGTGAATTACCTTCAGATAAGTATCTTAGGTCCTGATTTCCTGCTTGTTGTTACTGTTATTTTATAAGAGAACCGTGTGCTGCAGTTGCTGGCTAACCCTGTGTTCCCCCTGCAGGGCTGGGGAGCCGAGTACCACCGACAGGACGTCACGAGCACCCCGTGCTGGATAGAGATTCACCTCCACGGGCCCCTCCAGTGGCTGGATAAAGTACTTACCCAAATGGGTTCTCCTCTTAATCCCATCTCATCTGTCTCATAGTGCTGACATTCTATCTCCAGCCTTATTTTTAGCGAACTTATTCTAATTCTAGAGCAACTTCCAGTGGATACTGTGAGCTATATGGAGAATGGATCTTATGGTTTAATTGTGTTGGTTTTTTTTTTTAAATCCCTCTGTGACCAATTCCATTGTGTATAGCTAATCAGTTTTACATTTCAAATTGTTCTTGTGATGCTTAAGTGACAGTTGAGCCCTAAGGGAAAAAATAGTCTATTGAGAAATTCAGAACACTTTTCCCCTCCTTCCCCTAGAACTTAAACAGACATATGTCTTAACTGGAAAATCTTTTTGTCCTGTAGGGACAAGAATCATGGAGACTGACTTCAGAAAATAAATACATATCATAGTTTGGGATTTTTTTTTTAATGTTTATGAAACTGTTTGAACATGTGCAGCTCCAGCTTGCAAGCTGTATTTTTAGCATAGTGGTTTAAACATCTTAAGGTTGACATCTGTCATAAGCAAAATTAGACTTTATTATGGCTAATTTGCCTCAGATTGAACAATGTGATTTTTTTTTTTTAAGTGTACACATGAATATACTTTTTACAAATATTGGAGTGGTGTAAAAACACTTGTATTTTCTATTGGAAAATGCTGTCATAAACACACTGTATATTAATGCAGAATAGCAGTTCTTAGCCTTTTCCCACTTTGGTTTTGTAACATCTCTTTTAACCACCATTTAAAATAGTAATTGATACAAGGTAAACATCTTGCACGTTTCTGGAGTAGTAATTCTTGGTTTGCTTTGATTTACACTCATGCAGTTTGGATTTGGTTGCCAAGGCTATCTCTTTTTAGGTACCCTTCTCTTTTTTAACATAAACACTACTATTTGTAAATGGCAGTGCTTACTACTTTTTTGGAAGGAATAAGTTTTTTGTTTTCTTTTTGGTGTTCTAGCTGTTTATTTTACCTGTCTGGAATTGATCTGTGTAGGCCTTTTTAATCTCTCAGTAGACATTACACAGTATTAGTGATTACACTGTATTTAATTCACTTTCAGTATGAGTTTGAGTCTCTTTGAAGACTGTGAGTGGCTTAGCAAATGAGTTACTGAGTGCAGAAGCTTTTATTTCCAGATAATTTAATGCAGACCTGTTGGTAATGACCAAAAGTAATCCCTTCTTTGTAGCCTGCATGAAAGGGTGGTCTCACTCCTGGCCCTCATGGCAGGGCTTCAATCAGAAGACTTGTAACTGCAGTTGGCAGCTTTGTGGGATTGAAGGACTGCATTAATATGATGATGAAATTCCTCACAGGAATCCCAGAATCATGGAATGCTCAGGGGTTGGAATGGCCCTCAAAGATCATCTAGTGCCAAGCCCAGGGACACCTCCCTCCAGAACAGGTCACTCAAGGCCTTACCCAACCTGGCTTGAACATGGCTGGGGTTGGGGCAGCCACAGCCAACCTGGGCAACCTGTGCCAGTGCCTCACCACCCTCACAGGAGAAAATTTCTTCCTGATATCTGAGCTAAATTTTCCCTCTTCCAGCTTTGGTGGAGAATTTAAACACTGTACTAAACACTAAAAGAAATCAGCTAAATAACTCATGCCTGTTTTCCCCCTTTTTATGATAAAAAAGGAGGCTGAAATACTCTAAGAGAATTAGAAGTGAATTATATACAAAACGTCTTTGCATGCAGAAAAAAACCTCTTGTATTTTTTAACTTCTCGCCTTCCTTTTTCTCTTTCCTGAATATCTCTTCAGCAAAGGGTTCAGTGTTTGGAGGAGAGGCTGAAAACTCTAATATGCAAATAATTATGGAAAGATGTGTTGCAGTTAATTGCTGCAATCCTGAGACATTGATTGCTTACACAAGTTCTTGTGTCTTCTATTGAATGACATTTTCTGCTCAAATGTGGAAATCATGCATCGTATGGTACCTGCGTAACAAATGATCTTAAAGGATTCAAATTGTTTACGTGTCCTTAAAATGTTTCTTCTGAAATGCCTTAAAGGAATAAACTGTAACACTTCTGCAGAACCCTAATGTTCTCCTGTACAGGAATTTCTGTATTACTTGGTGTTTTGGGAGGTTTTTTTTTTTTTGTGTTTTGGGGTTTTTTTAAACAGTTTCTCAAGTGTGTTTAAAAACCAACAAGTGCATCTTCAGGAGAAGGGGAGGAACATTATTTGCTGTTTACCTTTGGGGTTTTCTCTTTCACTCTTTGGAGCTGCAACCCACAGACAGTTCTTTTGATTGAATAAGATGCCAAATCAGTTGGCCACAGAATCCAGCTTCTGTTTTCTTCTCCTCGGGGCCTGACTTTTGTCAAGTAGCTGAATATGTATATTTGACACTACAGAGTATTATTTTTCTTGACTAGCTTTTGTAATAAATGCCATGGCACGTTGAATTAAGGAAAGATTGCAATTGTAGGTACAAGATTTTACTTTATCCAAGATGTTTTTCACCTGGCTTCATCTCTGTTCACTTGTGTGCTTATATGTGGCCAACTGAGTGACTCAAGAATGGGTGCTGAGGTGGGTGTTTGTGAGCCAGAGCTGGTGCTTAGTGCTGGTGTTGTGGTTTGATTGGCTGCCCGTGCACTGAACCATAATTTCTGCAATAATATCCAGTTAACCCACTTCTGATGCTGTCATTAAGTGCTGAAGTGCTCTGGCATTTTTTTCTGCTTGTGTCCACGTTCTGGAACTGTAATCTCTGCAATGCTGGGATATCCCTGTGCCTGCTGGTTTGGCAGGGCAGGAGCAAACCCAGGAAGATTTGTCTGCCTTCTACTTCTCTGTTCCTTTTAAGCAGAGCTTTTTGGGTGCTTTCTAGTGAGCAAATTTTGCGTGCTGCTGGTTCATGGTGTTCCTAATCCTGTTTAGTTCATCTGTGCTGCTGATACAAAATGAGATATCTGTGCACAGATGGATTGGATGGAGAGTTTTTTTTGACCCTAACGATGTGTCAAGTCCAGGGAGAGCAGGGAGTGCTGCTGCTGGGGCAGCATCCTGTGTATAAATCACTTCTTTATCCACGTGGAAGGATGGAGAAATTAAATCAGCCAGTAGTGTGGCAGTGGAAGAAGGAGCCTTTCCAGTGTAGCCCAGCTTGGATTGGGTGTTACCCTTCAGCAAAGACTGATTTGGCTTTTTTAGTGTATTTTCTTCTTTTTGGGCATCTCCTTTGCACCAACCACAGCATTGACTGGCAGCTTTGGCAACACCAGCAGAGCCTGGAGCAGCCTGACACCCATCCTTGCTGGGATTTGCTCTGCAGTCCCTGGGATAAGAGCTTGGATCTTGCTCCTTGGGCACCTCAGTGCTGGCAGTCGATCAGTGCCTTGTGTTTTACACCCATTTAACTGTGTCAGGCTGGAAGGGCTGACATTGGCTTAGAGTATCTATAGGACCAAACCACAATTTTCTTGTGTGACTGATGAGAGACAAATTAACAGCCCAGTAGGCAAAACAATGATGAAACTGGTGTTACAATTCGGGGTAGAATTGTTTAAAGTATTGGGATTCTTCTGGTTTTTGCTTGAAGCAAAATGATTATTTTTTTTTTCCCCCACAGTATTAAAATGTGAAAGTTGTCGGTTCTTGGGTGTAAGATTAACTTGGATCCTTGCACTATAACTCTAGAGGACATTCAGATGTGTCAGGCTTCCTCCCTAGTCTGAAATAATAATTTTTTCAGGATATTGTTTTACTTGCTCAAATTGCTAATGATGGTTTCTAGAAAAAACAAAACAAACGAAAAACCAAAAACCAAAACATTTTCTAAATGTTTTGCTTCAAACAGCAAACGTGACTAACTTTTTTTTTCTATAGTTGTGAAGTTTCTGTTTAGGAAGGTTTCCCATTCTGAATTCAAATCAATAGACCAAACCATCAGATTTACAACACTATGTTGCTTTTTTGTGCTGCTCCATAAACCTGCTTCTGTGTTCGTTGCAAGCATAACCTTTATGCTTTTGTTTACATTGTAGGAAACACAGTTCTAGCAATGAGGTTTGTTGTTTTGTTTTTTTTTTCATTTAACTCTAAACATCTTTTTATTTTGTTAATTTTAAAATGATTAGGTTTTGCTATGTTACGTTTTTAAAGATATTTTTTGCATACTGCTGCTCATATTTCAATAAACGAAACAAAAAACCCACGGATTTTATTGGTTTTATTTATCTGTAACTCTGTATGTCTCAAGTGTTTTCCAAGGGTTAATTTATCACTTGTAACTCCTGCTGCTGATGCCTCTCCGTGTACATAGAACTTCTTATACTGTGATATTTTAAAATACTTTTCTGGAGCTTTTTGGTAATGCAAAAGCTGTTTGGAAGCAGAGATTAAATTCTTTCATTACCTTATTTAAGAGCTATTCTCATAGAGTGCAGCCAGCCCAAATGGTATCCATTTCTTAGGATTTATAAAAATTATTTTGGGAGTACAAAAAAATGTTTATCCATAAGACTTCAGCAGCAATTTGATAAATATGTTGGGGGTGGTTGTTTTTTTTTTAACCATAACATTTTTTTTAACAACTCATCGTGTCTGAATGTGTCAAGCTTTGAACTGCTGAGCAACAGCCTTTCATTGAAACGAAACTCAATCTCATGAAACTCAAGGACTTTTAACAATAAACTGTAAATTTAGGAGCAGGTTAGTGAGCTGTATATTGGCTTATTTTTTAAGACTGAGGGGAAGAAAACTTTTCTCTTGTTTGCCAAGATACTGCAGAAATAGAGGTAGAAAAGTAATTAGGGGTTTGCATTTATTAAATCTCTTTTTTTTTTTGGCAGGATGAGTACAAAACCACTGAATCCCAAATCCACAGTGATAAATGATTTGTTTAGTATAAAACTGAAATGAAAGTGTTGATAAAACTTCAGCTGGTCTGGGCTTCCTGCTTTGGGATTTAATTTGGCCACCTGCAGGAATACTCTCAAATTCTTTCATTTTCTCAATAATGAGCTTTTTTCCTCTGAACATGAGGATCCAATCACTCAGGTAATAATTTATTTTCTTAATTTCTCTCTTGATGCTGTTTTGTATCAGCATCCCCTGTACTGTTTTGATAAATTTGCTTCCAAATTTGCCTCCAAAACAATGTTTGCCATG